GTAGCAAACATAGAGCATGCGAATGAACCTCAAGAGACTGTTGGAGTGCTTGCAATGTCAGTTCTGTTCACCTCAGTGGCCTTCACCATAATTGTCGATCTGTGCTTTGTCCTTAACACAGCGTCAACAATCAAGAGAATGTGTACTTATGGGAGAATTCATCACAAGATGAAGTACAGCTTCAGATTATTCACACTAATTTATGTTGTCATGAGCATTGGGTGGCTCTCTGTACTCATGTCTCAGATTAGATATGACGAGATTTATTATGCTCACTTATTTTTTAATATCATTCAAGCACTTTCCATTCTCTATATTTGCGTCTTTGGGCAGAAAAGGGTGACTTTTTTGCTCAGCAAAACGTGCAATTGCTGCACTAGCAGTCGTCAAACCCCCGATGGACTCGATTGGGGGGAGGAAATGACAGCTATCAATGCTGGGTATTGAATTTTCAAATGCATTTTTTTGTCACTCGATGAAAAACCAACAGGTGCTCCTTGTCAGAACCAAACAAATCCTCGAAGAAATTTATTTTTCTGCAGTGAAACCCTTTTACAGTTTTGTAGGTCAGGGCTTTTGAGTTTTTGACACGGACTTCTTGGGCATTTCACCCTGATTTTAGGATTTAGATTTTGCAGGTCGAAATTTTAATATCGGTATTGAAAAATATTAAAAAATCTGAAGAAGGAGTAATTCGTGAATAACAAAGGGTTGAAGTAATATTAATTTTTTAATTCGAAATTCGTAAATATGAATATATATAGAATATTAATATAAGAATAACGAGATTATTTTGAGAACCTGTTCGATTTCCTCGCGATTAATGTCCAATTAATTATTTCTGAAGAATTTTCATGCTTAATTCACAGGTAATTTTGTAAATACTTTTGGAAGGGTTCGGACAGTCGAGTACTTGCAAACGAATTTTCGCATCAACTGATTTTACAAGTTCACTCCTTAGAGGATTGCGTGCAATTTATGAATCTTGTTTTTCGTTGTGCCATTCTGCACATCTATTCCCATAAATTTAATGTTTCATCGTTCACACTGAGAGAAAATCGTGTATTTCTCTAATTCTCGATGTTCGACAGACTGTGGCCTTAAGCAATGTGACTTCTTTGTAGATTTTAATACACGCCGACTCACATATCACGAGAGAAAGACGAGCAAATTATTTTTTAATATTATACTCATAGGTGTATGAAAGATTTTAATAGCACAATTTTTGTACGAGAGCAATAAACTCTGAATGACCCAATAATAAAGTATTCCCGAAATTAACTTATTAAATTAATTTCCAATCATTTTCAAATTCAAAATATCAATCCAAATAATTTATAAACCTTTTATCAATCTCGATTTAATTTGTGGTTGAAAAAGTGCAAAAAAGAGAATAAATCTCTGTGAAAAAAAAAACATTTAATTCTTCAATTTAAATCCACGAAAAAAATAATTGATTCTCACCTGTCCGAAGAGTCCTCCCTCAGGTCTCTTCAACAAATTCGAGAGCTGGCAACGAACGACGAGGTGACAATCATCCATAACAGTATTGAAAAATCTCCTGGTGGGTAACAGAGCCTCCAAATCAATAACAAGTTCCAAGAATCTCTCACAGTACCTGACCTTATCAGGATTAAGCTGACCCTCCTCCTGGATGGTCTCCAAAATGGTCATGAATTTAATCATCAACTTGTGAAGAAACTTCCTGTCCCACTCGAGTTTCTCCTTCAATTCAGATTTGTCTCGTTTCTGAATGATCCTCCACTGTTTCCTCCATTTCGGATGTTTTCTGAACTCCAGTTCTCTCCTCCCCTGCTGAAGGGATAGCCACATAGATAGAGAGACGAGTCTCTTCACCTCCTCTCTCACCAAAATCACCTCCATCGAATTAAAGCAGTGATTCAAGAAGACAATAAGTGCTGTCTGTTCTCTCAGATCGAAGTCCATGATGCTATCTTCGAGGCAGGCCTCCAACACCCTCTGGAAAAATCCGGAGAAATGGCTGGAATTCTTCTCAAAGGCCTCCCACACCTGCACTCTCTCTCGGAATTTCTCATTCACCATCACAACTATCGACATTGTGTGGGCACGAGTCGCTGTTTTTCCATCGTAATTCGGCCACAGAAAATTCTCGAGGTACTGACTGAACTCGAGCATCATTATCCGACGAATTGAGAATTTCGAGGCGCATATTTCCTGGATGTAGATCTCCTCCACGATTTTTGACTCAAAGGGAAGGTGACAGTCCGTCGTATGAGGAGCCCAATATTTATTTGCCAACTGTAATTAAAATCAATTGTTAATCAAACTATAATTTTTTACAGCTGAACCAATCCACT